GGGAGTGGCTTTTACAACAGCCAGGACCCAGCCCAGCTCATTTAGAATATGATAATTATCATCCATCTGGAACGCAGTGTACAAAAACATATGCAATTTGCTGTGGTATCTTAATGGTATTCAGTTTCACTTTATTCCAGAATTCTACCCTGTTTCAAACCATGTTTTAAGTTTTGCCCCTCCAGGGACATAGTAATTTATAATTTGCACTATGGGAAGGAGTCCCCCCCCTGCCAAACTGAGGACTGTTTTGACAAAAGTTGTCTGCTATGAATTTCTCTGAAAGTGGTGGCTTTCCTCCAACCTGCGCTGTGCTTCACAGGCATCTTGGTAACCTCTGCTGCTTGAGCAAATGCAGAAGTCGTAGAGTCCTGTGCCAGGCTAGTCAGGGAGTAATGGATTCTACTTGCTTGCTTTTCCTAATAAACTAGTCTCATGCTTATCTTTTACATAGACTTAATTTCACCTATTCATTTTATGCTAAGATGCAATAGTTGAAGAGGTGGATCTGTCCTTATTCCATGCAGACTTATGAGACATGCAGGTGGGCTGCTTTTTCCTCAGGACCATCTGCCACAACCACAAGTTGGCAGCAGCAACTGTACCTCTGCCAAAGCTTATAAAAGTTTAACCTTCAGGTTCAGGAGACTTTTCCTTAAACAAATACAACAAATTTCAAGAGTCCATTGAAAATAAGGGAGCAAGTAACTGGAGCAGTTTTGCTAATATTAGTCTAAGCAAATAGGTAAAACCTCTTCCTCAGTGTTATGAACTACAAGTAGTAGTCCGAAGGAATGAAGACCATACAGAGATCTTATTTGACTAGATAAAACCCAAATACCACAAGTGTCATCTTAGTATGTGTATGAAGTGTCATCTTCATTTTTAGTCTTAGCTTTCTTATAATGCAGCTTTCAGTTCTATCAGGATACCCTGTTTTCTTACAAATGCTGCTTGTCAGTTTCTCGTGTTTTTTTTTTCACGTGTTCTTTTACATAAAACTGTTCAATGCAGGGGGCAGCAGTTTGCACAGCAGATACAGCAGCAGAATCCTGAGCTCATAGAGCAACTGAGAAATCATGTGCGGAGCAGATCATTCAGTGGCAGCACTGAGGAGCATTCCTGACTTAAAGGAGGCCTATAAACTGGCACGGTATATAACCCCCAAATGCATACCATAGTTAGTAGCAAAAGCACCGTTATAACTCTTCTGCTTGAATAGAAGACAGAAAATTCTTTGTGTGTGTTCTGCAAACAAGAATAAATCTGTTAAACAGATCTATTGCACATAACTTGGAACATACCGTTTATGTATAGTTACTCCTCTGAAAATTAACACTACATAGACTGAGTGGTTTATTAAAATCCCAAAATTCCTGTCATTTTCAGTATGTGCATTAGAGCGATCTCCAGGTTGTTTGAGTGAAGGAGTTGTATGGTGGACTGATAAGCTTGCATAATAGCTTAATTCTAAGATACTGGTGTAAAAAGCATATTATGCAGATAGTGGAAAATTTTTATGGCTGTATTCCATGCCAAATGTGCTACTGAAACAATGGTTTAATCAGCCCTCTAAGGTATGTCTGATATGCCTGCTGTAAACAAGTGTAAATCAGTGTTGGAGCATAGAGTGTAAAAATTAATGCTTGGAGAACTTGTGTGGTGGGGCTGAAAGCAGCAGCATGAAACACTTCTCAAGTTCATTTGGCAGGAGGGAGGGATATGACTGCATTCAGGGGAGCACAACAAACTGTGCGGAGACGATACTGATCTCAAGGAGGATAATGCACAGAAACCAAAAGGGAACTGATGGGGAGCAGGGGGCAGTGCTGGGCAGTTCTGGAACTCCCTGCTGCCAGCGTACACTTAACGCGGCCCGGCAGCCCTGGTGGTCAGCGCCACGGCCCTGTGTGCACAAGCAGGGCAAACTCTGTTCTGTGCACATGCAGTACTTACTTACTTAACATAAGCTTAAAATCTTCAACCGTAATGAGCTAAAACTGGTCCCATGACTGTACAAATAATTAGTATTGAAAATTTATCCAAAAACTGCCTTAGAAGGAATGATTCTCTGTATAATCTTATGTGGTAAATCACTGACTTAAATTAACAATGTAAAGTTTCCTTATACATGGCCAAGTTAAAGTTTTCCAGTCTTCGATATTTCTATCTCCACCCTGGTGTTTCTCGTTTGCCTTTATTTAACTCTTTCAGATCCTACTGCTTTTCTGCATTTTGATTTCATTACTTGTTTTTATACTACTTGCTGTTCGCATTGCTTTATGCTGCAAGGTACGTTTCATTTTCCTTGAGGGAGATTCCAACCATGCACAATTTAGGTTTTGTGCATCCAAACTTCATCTGAGGAGCCTGCTTTGGCTTCTAAGGCCAAGTGACCTGTGCGGGCAAGGCAGCCTGACACAAGTACGGGGAGGAGTGACAGCCTCCCACAGGGAGGAGCACACAGGAACCCCCGGGGCCTCAGACAGTTTTATCTGCTTCATCATGCAGTCAAATAGAGAGCATAGAAGTAAATGCAGAATTGAGGCTGTCATATACTTGACTCTTATAGATGCTGGTTGTAGCTATTGAAACAGGAAGAAAATGGAACTGGATCCAGGGGAAAAATGAATAAGGATTTAAATCTTAAGGAAATTACTTAACTTTAAAACATTTCATCCAATAGTTCGCATAAACTATTAAATTCTCTTTAAAATGCTGCTTTTTTACTATTTAGAAATGTAGCCACGTTTCTGATGCTATAGAAATGGTTACGTAAAAATCAAATGCCTTTCTAAGTAACTCCTCGCTTCATGTATCATGATAAGAGAGAATCCCTAAACTTGGGCCTTTTTTAAAGGTATTTCAGGCCTGTAATCTCTTCAAGGTAACTGCTACTTAGAAAGTTAATTCAGTTTTGGCCTGTTGACTTGCACTTGGACAGAATACCCCACAGAAAAAAATAGCTGTTGAGGTTATAAGGGAGCTACCGCTGTTCTGTAAACACAGCTCGGAGGAGGCTGTGTCATGGCACGAAGGAGCAGCATCACCCCTAGCACGTGCACTTGGCTACATTTCATTTTTTTCTTCTTACCTCTCCCTTCTTTTTCACTGCTTAAAGTGAACTCAAACTTAGATAAGGGGACCCAGTGAACACAGGGTGGGTGGACAAGGCTTAAGCTGTCACCTTCAGTTCACCCTGGCTTTCTGGAAGCAATCCTCATGTAGTCAGTTAACTTTCTATTTCAAACTAGCAGCACTGGCAGGAACCCCTTGACAGTTGCTTAAGAAATGTAATAAATGGCAGCTGTGTCTAGAGGTTATTCTGTCTTTGGTGAATACACTTTTGCCTCCATAATTTTTATTGTTCATATATACAGCCCTGTTATCTTACCTATTTATGGGAGAACTATCCACAAGGAAAGATTGGTTAATTACGCAGCACTCAAGATCATCTTTATAAACTGGTAATTTCCATTTCACCTACTATAATACTGTCAAATTATGCTCCGGTACAGGTTCTATGTAACCAGAATATTAACGCCAATTTTGATGGCGCTAACTAACCCTTAAGGAATGTGCTGCAACTGACACAGTACTTAACTTGTAAACATCCTGTTTTCTGTATATTAACAGAAGGGACTTTATATCCTGAATAAATAAATAAATAGTACCAGTAGCTGTTGTTCCAGGCATTTTCCATCTGAAGCAAGGCACAGAGGGCCCATTTATGCTTTGATCTCTTTGGCCCTGAATCAGCTAGTTTGTCTCACGAAGTCACACAGTATTTCTTAGTCACAGGGTGAGGAAGGGATCTTTTCCTGTGTAATAATCTTGCACTAGAGTTTTTCCTTGTGGTAGGTCAAGTTATAAACAACAATTTAAGTAAACACAATTTTTATTTGCAACCAGTTGCAGTTTATCATTTAACTGAAAAAAGGAGCATTTAAACCCTTTTGTACTGTTACTGTTTCATCAGCAAATAAGTATGATAATTGTTTAGAGAAGAAAGTGTTTTGCACTCATGAACTGCCAACTCCTGTAACAAGCTTGCATGGAAATATCTTCTTCTAACTGTATCTGATCAGAAAAACATTTATTAAATATTCAGCATAGAAGTGGTTCAGTTGTATTTTTGGTTTTGTAATAATTAAAAAGGCAACTTCTCCCTAGTCAAGGTTGCAATTGGTTTTGTTAACAAAAACCTATATTAGCTTAATTCTTTAATTTTTATATAGTAGTTTGCTTGAATACATCACCCATACAGGCAAATTCTTGCTCAGGATGAAACTTCTGAAGCAAACTTCCTGCACTGTTCGAGGGCTATACAGAGCCATAAGCTGTCCTGGGAAAATGCAGTTTGCCTGCTCTTTCTGTCTCTCTTACCTCCTGCTGCCCTGTAGTTCTCCCTCCTTTAACCTGTGTCATTTACCTTGGAAATAGATTATAAATAAAGTTATTTACTTTTTTTGTGTGTGTGGAGAGTTGTTTTTTGCTCTCTTCTAGTCTGCTGGTATATCTACAAACAGTTTTTCATGCAAAGATTTAACAAGTTTGCAACCTCTTTTTAAATACCTGGTATGTGTTTTATTAGATATGAAGGATACGTTTTAGTTCTTGATTTCTTTTGTTTCCTAGGGGCACCTATCCATCATTTAAACAAAAATTGGATATCTGGTATTTTTTAAATAGGCTCTGCCCTTAATTTTCTCAGACTGAAAAATATATATATATATCTTTAAATACTTCCAAAATTAAGGTTGGTAAATGGCAATAGGACAGCTGAAAAAAATGGACAGGTCAATGAGTACAATTTTACTACTGGATGTCTGTGTAAATGCTATTTAACTTTCCCCACGTGATGATGTTAATACAGTATCATTTTTCAGAGCACCTTTTTTTTAATAGGCTTTATTTTCAATAGACAAAGTGGAAACACATCTTTTTAAAGGATTCTAAAACATTCCAAATATGCTCAGTGAAATTAAATAAACATGCTTATAGATATATCGGGTTTTTTTCTTTTTACACATTTTAATAATTCAGCTGCAAAGCCATAGAAGGTTGGTCCAAAAAAGCCCAGCAAAAGTATTTATGGAACTTCTTTCTTCAACTTTCTTTTTTGATTTCGGAAGAAACAACACAGACTTGTGCAATATCATCATACTCATATGTTCTCTTCAAAAATGTGTCTGTAAGTCTTAAGCCAGAGACACTCTAGAAATGAAAAGCATTTATAAAAGTCAATATTTAAAAAATTGATAAAATGGGCATTTTATAACAAAGCTGTGTTATGAAGTCTTACTTGCAGTCCCTGCACTGAAGACAATAACGTAAGTGCAAGGTGGAGGGATGAGCTTGGGTGCAGCTTTCCAAGCTGCCTTCCTGAAACTCCACACCAGTGGATGGAGCTCGTATTGCACATCTCTAAAACCAGATCCATAGTCCTTTCACTGCTAGAGGAAATTGGAAAAATAAATAAATAAATAAATAAACCTAGATTTTTTTAAAGCATTCAAAGACTACAGACATAAACCAGCTTGATTATTATTCATGCTATTGTTAACGAAGCATTTAAAACTAATTTATAAGTAAAAGAAAGCAACCAAAAGTTACTGTGATGTACAGCAATTCAGTTGGACACAGCTTTATTCAATATGTAAGTGTTCTTGTCATGGATTTAACTACACTGGGTAGCACAATACTGCTCCTATTTTGAACAGCCTACAAGGCTTTCACAAGAAGCGAAGGTACACGAAATACTTTATGCTTAGTCCTTGGCCTTAAGTACTATTTATAATTACATTATTTACATTTCACTTTACAATCCTTTTATAAAGGACTACTGTAAACCAAACGGTGGATAAAGACGTTACAAAAGACCACCTAGACACTTATTCAGCAGGCCTTCTAGCAGTGCTGCAGAATTAGCAGCAAGGTCAGAACAGATAAAAACGGCATCATTTATCAACTTAGCTGTAATTTAAAATAGATTTATAAGCACTAATTAACAATTAAGATTATTTATGATTTAAATGTGGGGTTTATCTTATGTAATATTGCAGCCGGTTCCATGAACTTGCAACTACCCACTTGGTTTCCAAAGCAAAATGATATTGGCAGATAATGATGATAGAACTTTACAAAATTATTCCAAAAGCTACCATTTTACTGCCTAAGTTCTAAAAAGATTTGGTCCAAAAATCATCAGTTTGGAGCTGCTACAAATCACAGAAAAGATCCGCTTTGAATTCTTTCCAGACAAAGCACTGAAAAATTAAACAAAACAGCCGCAACTTACCTGCTCAGAAAAAAAACCACAAGAATCACCTGACATCATTACCTGCAATTTGTTATTTTACATGTAATGTCAAAAGGTTCTTCCAAATTTACAGTGTCTGGTATCGTCTCCAGAGAAAGCCTCACGTCGCCGTAACCGGGAGCCTGGCAAGGAACAAGAAGGCAGATGTCTCAAACGCTGCCTGGCAAAGGGAAGTTTTCACTCCTCAAGTCCTCATCTACTGCAACAGCCTTAGTGAAAGGGTCTGCCCACCCAAAGAGGCTGACCAAGAAGACCAAATTTCATTCTAGGAGCTCTCTGCTAAGTACAGTACATAGACAACAACACAGGTTAGTTGCCCTACATTAGCTCTTGTGCCTTAGAAAAGGCACTGTTGACTCTCCTGGCCATTTCAGTCCTCTCAGCCTTTGCCAAAATTGCTAATTGCCCCCGGTTAAAATGGTACATGATACGAACACTTGGCCAATATCAAATTTTGTCACAGGACAAACCACATTCTACATGGTTTACTAACAAACCTATGGTAGAAAACTCTATTTGCTACCAATTCACACTGACTCAAGCCAGTGACCTGTAGTGAGTGACCTACAGTGAGCGACCTTACATTTTCAATACCCAAAAAAAATAGATCAGGAGGAAAAAAAAAAAAAAAAGGAAAAACCTTCCTGCCAGAAAAAGCTCAATTACGGGATATATTCAATTTCTGCTTTTTTTGCTGATGGAAGGGTGCTGCAAGAAAAGTTACATTTACAACACGCTTAAACGGTTTCCCTAACGTAGTACAGAAAGCCAGTGAATGACCAGTCGAGAACAGTTTCACTCATACACCCTCCATCACAGAATTGGGAAGATGCAACCACCTTAACTTGGGCAGGAGCGCGAGCAGAGAGATCTCAAACAGATTAGGAGAGGGATTTCACCCCACACCAGTGCAGCAACACAACTTAAGAGACTTGTAGGGAAGATGTCTCACCAGTCAGCACTGGAAAAGACAAAACCTTTTCAGTTGTACGAGATGACAGGAGCGAGCCTACTCCAATTCCCCAAACAAGAGGCAACTTGAAATACATATTGTGTCATCCCAAACGCGTTCTGGGGCGTTTGCTTTGGACGAGCTCCAGCCTAGTCCCGAGCCGGATGCCCACTCCGAGGGGGACACCCTCGGCACGCTGCGGACAGGGAGCACCCGGCTGAAGGGCAGCCCAGCCTGCGGAGCCCAACACCGCCCCACAAAGCAGCCCCAACCCCAACAAGGGTGCACAATACTGTTTTTGTTTCACCGGTGTGTTCCTGATCTGCTCCCAGGTGATGATATGGAGGCCCAGTACAGGTAAAATTATAGGCCTGCTAAGTGAAACCAGTTAAGAGAGCTAGTAAATGAAGGAAAATGATGACAGGTTAAGAGGATCTACAGCTAGAATAATGGAGCGGTAGTTAATATCAGGATAAGGGGGAGCTGCCTTGCATCTCAAAGGAAAAGAGCAATACTGACTAAGGGAGAAAAAAATCTGTCTTAAGAGGGGTGATAGAAAAGGTCAGCTGGAAATGAGCTTTAAGTACCAGAAGTTTTAAGGAGATAGGCTACTTCAATCTTTAAGGCGGCCAATTTCCAATGTGATGATTTCTAATCTCTGTAAAGAGATACGTGCCATCTAAATTAAAACCAGAGCCGTTTTAGTAACTTAGCTTTGAATTTCCATGATCCAAAGTTTCCATGCCTGGTTACAGCTTCAT